ACAAGCTCCACAGTTTACCATCTTTGGTCCAAAATTTCAATTATAATTATAAAGTCTAAATAAAATGGAGACAAATAAAAATAAGAACGGGTACTGGGGTCTAAAACAAAGATATAAATATAAAAAATAAGAGTGCGGGATTTGAACCAATGACCGCGGTGATGCGTCGAACGTTGGTCCCGTGGCAAAAATTTAATACACTGCGCCGTTTCCATCGATACTGGAAAGGCGAAAATTGTGTTCCTATGCACTGTTGCCAGGTTATTTTCGTTACGAAATTTCTGAATTCGGTCGCCGCGCTCAAAGCCCGCGATAAAATCTATGCAATAGCTTAACAATGGTGGTATATCAAGCATAAGGTTTGGCAGGAAAGGCAAACAAGCATAATTGGTTTAAGTTCTATGGAAAGCGGTTATCAAAACCAGGATTGAGGAGTTTTTTCTAAGTTTATTTTAGAGTAACAACTTATACAGATTTAAAGAAAAGTTTACTAGAAAAAAAAATCCACGCGGACCAGGCAGCGGACGGGACTCGAACCCGCACCTTTCGCAATCCGGGCGAATGCACTGACCATTATGCTACCACGGCCCTATTCGCCGCGTCGAAATTTTCCTAGCCTTAAGCTGCAAGGCAGCGCCATCTCTTCGCATTGTAGGTAACCCACAATGTCAAATGAATACTTTTTCAAGTATTAAACATTTGAAAGAAGAAATAGCAATTATAGTTATGTTTTTATTTATTTTTTAAGCATTTAACTGCTAGATGTTTAAATCTAAAGAAAAGTTTACTAGAAAAAAATCCACGCGGACCAGGCAGCGGACGGGACTCGAACCCGCACCTTTCGCAATCCGGGCGAATGCACTGACCATTATTTAATATATATATACATACATATACACACATACATACACACACATACATATATATAATACATACATAAGTATAAGATTATGTTAGTCAAATATGAGAACGCTGTTTAATGCTATGGAGATGCTAAGTTTTACGAGGGGATGAAAACAGCTTATTTTTAAGGCATAAACTACTCGTTGTTACTTAAGCAATCTTCAGAATCATGATGAAATCTATATATATAAAACTCAAAGGTGACTGACTGACATAGTGATCTATCAACGCACAGCCCAAACCACTGGACGGATCGGGCTGAAATTTGGCATGCAGGTAGATGTAGGCATCAGCTAAGAAAGGATTTTGATCAATTCTACCCCCAAGGGGATAAAATAGGGAATGAAAGTTTGTATGAAACTTTGTTAATTTTAAACCGATCGGGCTGAGACTTTGCATGCGGGTATAAGAAGGATCATAGATGAATGTCATTGTGTATAATACAAGCCTGAGAAAATAAACTGTAGTCTACACTTCAGTTCTACACCGAAGCGAAGCGAGGGCGGGCCACTAGTGATATTATATTTTGTCTACGAGATGGTGCTCACGAGCCAATCCCCTAAATGCAAATTTGTTAGGAGCTTTACGTATATTGGGGGGCAAGTCATTTTCATTTATCACGAGTGCCTTCGCATCATAGTACAATATATGAAATATGCGAGGAAACAAACCATTTCTTTGTTATCAAAATTCAAATTTTAGCAGAACACCATAGTGATGCGCGACTACAAAGGATTTTACCTTTCGACTAATTCATAACTACTAATTTGGCTATTCGAAAGGCAAATTAGTAGTATACTAATGTCATTATTCGAATATCGAATACTAATTAGTAATACTAATGTCAAATGTCGCTGCGTGCGATGCGCGCCGCCCGATACCTTCGACTCCAGTCGAGTGATATAAAGCGCAGTCGACTTAGTCGAATGGTTAGTATTAGTATTATTCGAAGTCGCGCATCGCTAGAACACCATCGTAAATGGTCGTTTGTATTAGCGTTCCCCACCAAGTTGTTGGTGTGGCATTATGTGGGTTGATTAATGACCTAATCTCCTTTCCCAGTTTCGTTGGAACCGGTGCGCAAAAGTTTATCCCGTACTCATAAAGTTACCAACACACAGAGTTAGGTAACAAATTAATGTTCTTAGAATAATATAGGATTTTGTGCAAAGTAACAACAGATTATTACGCTGCAGGCTGCAGCATTTGAATTTCAACTCATTTTCAATGAAGCCTGCTAAAACAGTGTTGAAATTACTAAATTTATGAATGAAAAACCACGCCAAAAGCTAAGCAAAAGCAATTGTCGAGTGACAGGTGATCAAGTGACAATTTTGAAAATTATTTTCAGTTAAGCTAATAACAATGACAGTTCTTCGGACGGCTGTACTTCTCAGTACAAGGTCTCCCGCCGTAGATTTACAAACCGATGGCGTAGCGTTTGACTTTCACAAGAGCTTGTAACAGCCTAGACTGAATAAATGAGTTTGAATTTTGAATTTTTGAGTTTTTTTTTCTAACTTCAATGACAATTATGTTGTGAAACATGGGCAATTTTTTATAAGTATTGAACCAGTATCGAGCATTTAATTAATAAAATCGGTGCAATGATATAAAATAGATTACCCAAGATCAAACCGTCGACGCGTCGGCTTAAACATTACATATGTCAATGACATGTGGACTTGGGGTAATAGGGCCCAGATGAGTTTTTCTTAATATAAAAGATAATGCCCACTGAACCTTGCGTTATATTAGTTCAAGACCTTTTTCTGGATTAAGTAAATTATTTCCCACATACCTAAAGCAGAAAGAAAGAAAGCAAAAAAAATGTGACATTCATAATTTAATTTCTGCATTGTAGGTCGGCCCAGTGATTTAAAAACAGTTAACATTGTCCTGTACCTTTAACAACGGATATTACCAGGAATTTATAATATACCATGTCTCATTATCTCATATATCATTTATCTCTTTTTTTAAATAATATGATTACAAGATTCCCAGAAAACCAATTAACTGCTTTTTCTGTGGAGAGTCGACACATTTGAATACATAGGAACATTAGGAACTTTATGAATATAATTGAATATATTGTTTTAATCTTTCTCAGTCACTTAACTACATCTTAAGTAATATATTGTTTTAAACTTTCATGGTCACTAACATTATAGCTATTTACGGGATTGTTACCATGTACCTTGTTTTTTATGAATCTCCGATATTTCATGGCGCTTGCAACAGTGCCGAAATATCGGAGACTCATAAAAAACAAGGTACATGGTAACAATCCCGTTAAAAGCTATAATGTTAGTGACCATGAAAGTTTAAAACAATATATTACTTAAGTTTCGTAAATACTAACTGGATTTGAGAAACTATAAGAATTAATAACATGCAAAAAATTCTAACATATTAAAACATAACAGTCTTATTACAGTATTCTCATTTTACCTATCATTCATTTAATAACAAGTATTTTATCATTATAAATAATAAATATTTCCAACACACACACCAATTAGCCTAGCCCCAAAGTAAGCACATAAGGCTTGTGTTATGGGATACTAGGGTCACGGATAGAATACATATACGGTACATATATAAGTATATTTATATAGAAATACATATTAAACATCCATGACTGGAGTACAAATGCACGTATTCATCACACAAACATCTGCCCCCACCGGGATTCGAACCCGGGACCTCTCGAGTCGGCGACACCATGAAACCCAGCGTACAAACCACTCGGCCACGGAGGTCGTCAAAATTTTAAAATTTAAATTTACAATTCCTAATGTCAGTTAAAAATAAAATATATTTTATGTCAATTTACTGTGATAAACCTATAATAACAGATTCATTATGATAATTTTAGAGTATTTGTGATGATGAAATGATATGGTAATATTATTTTACTGTGATTTTCTGTAAGATGATGGTTACTTTCTCAGGCGGAACTCTTGATTCTCTCCAATTCTATTAAAGGGTAGTTTGTTTTTGTAAAATGCACAAGAATTAATTACGTTAAAACATGTAAGTAAACATTCGTAATTCCAAAAGTTCAGCATTCACAAAAGTTTCCAAGAGCAATTAGCTAGTACCAGGGATTTCACATTATAAAACAAAAAACCTAACCGAATGAAAACAACATCTGTTTGGGAACCGCAATTCGAGGGAAACCGGGACTTCATTTATTTTTTTAAGCATAAAAATACGGTTCTTCTAATGGCGCATTTCCCGAAAGAGTTTCGGCTAAGTCTGACATATGGTTCGCCGTACAATGCCCTGTTTCCTCTAAGGTTCTTAGCACATTAAGACATATAGATCATTGAGCAATGGAGAATTAAATAATAAATATCTATATATATAAAACTCAAAGGTGACTGACTGACATAGTGATCAATCAACGCACAGCCCAAACCACTGGACGGATCGGGCTGAAATTTGGCATGCAGGTAGATGTTATGACGTAGGCATCCGCTTAGAAAGGATTTTGATCAATTCTACCCCCAAGGGGATAAAATAGGGAATGAAAGTTTGTATGAAACTTTGTCAATTTTAAACCGATCGGGCTGAGACTGCATGCACGTATAAGAAGAATCATAGATGAATGTCATTGTGTATAATACGCCTGAGAACAAAAACTGTAGTCTACACTTCAGCTCTACACCGAAGCGAAGCGAAGCTAGTAATTTAATAATAGTTAATTAAATAACATAATGTTGTAATTTTCGACTTGTTTTGCATCTGCTTGTTTTGTTACAGTGTTGTGCAATAAAGTATTTTTATCTTATCTTAAATCAATTTGCAAACTTTTCTTTGGATATCTTAAAAAAATCTAAAAATGAAATCCTATTAAACGTTTGTACGTGAATAAGCTAACGTCGGTAACGTCTGAATATTATTTCCAGACAGCAGAAGGTTCTTATTTAACATAATAATCAATTCCAAAATAATGCGTATTAACAATGAACTGCTTACAGATGAGAATGTATTCATACAATTGTATCTCTAATTCTGCTGTTTCGGTTGCTTAAAGGAAATGCAGTGTGTTTTAACAAATGTATATTATAAAAAAATTATAGGTGACATCAGTTCAAAACATTGGTAGAAGTGACTCCACCAACCTATAAAAAAATATAAAATACTGTTAAACATGTCAATTTCAACGACTAGCAAATGATTAATTTTCATTAAAGTTTTAGAATCTTAAAAACACTAATTATATTATGATTTCTTTAGCCTTTTTAATTAACTTCTTGATCTAAGGCTCCTCCAACGATACACATTCAAAAGAAAAATTTGCTCGGAAAAATCGCATTTTCTCAGTTTTGCATTTTCTGCTATCCGGATAGATTAGAGAAGATTCGGGTTTGAATCCCGTCAGAAACCTGGACTGAGTGAAATATTTTCAAGTAAAAGTTTCTTTACATTCGTCGTTGTTTAGCCGTTCGTCTATAGAATGCTCTTCCAGTTTCCATAAGATATGCAAAATCTATCCACATTTTCAAAAATTTGTTAGATCTCACTATAATTATGTCCTTGTAACCCTTCCATTTTTGTTGATCTTAGCTGAATGAATTAGACATAGGTATGTATGTATATATTTATATATATGTATGTATATATATTTATGTATATGACTACAGAGTCATATACATAATTATATACCTACAAGAATATACACAGATATATTCTTGTAGGTATATAATTATATACGCGTCGCGTCGATAGGAAGCGGGGAGAGGGGCAGGGCTAACCCGACCTAACTGTGTGTCAATCGTGATCGCGTATTCGCGTTCTATTAGGACACCCAGTTCGCGATCACGCGATGGTCGCATCGTTTAAACGCGCGATGATCGCGTTATCGCGTTGTATTAGGACAATGCCTAATGTACGAAGACCTTTAGTCTGACATCATTCGCTACACGATGCTCAGAATAACGAGTGGAGTGGGGCTTTGTGCATCGAATAACGAAGATGTCACGTATATTGACCCGGAGCTCTATTTTTGAATCACTCGTCTGACATAGTATCGTCGAATGCGACATAAGTCACTCGACTTTCAAGTCGCATAATACTGATTTACCGTATTTTTTAATCACTCGTCACCAGTGTTACCTGTTTGATACGAAATACGAAATTTTACTCATTTCACGCAGAAATAATAAAAACCGGTAATTACTACTACTAAATAAAACTAGCTAAAACTAAATAACTAATTTGTCGAGCTACCTTCGAAAGACTTTTATTGAGCAGTCAATAAAAGTCTTTCGAAGGTAGCTCGACAAATTAAATAAAAGTTTTATTGTGACGACGAAGCCTATAAAGGTTACGAAACGTCAATAAATAAATAAAGTTTCGTGCATTAACCCGTAAAACCTAGTTTTATTTAATGAGTGATGTGCGTGAAAACCTAAGAAACAAATAAATTACTACTACTCTTTGTCGTTTCATATAAAGTATGACAATGATAGATTATCGTCGTCTATTACCACAAAAAAAATGACAATTATTCTATCATTCGCCTCCACCATTCGCCATGCAGCGAGTGGTCTCACCCATTCGTTGCACTCGAGCGATTCAAAAATACGGAATTAATTATGTCGAATGAAATTTAGTAGAAATCCAGCGTTCGACGCAAGACGAGTGATTCAAAAATAGAGCTGCCGGTGTCTGTTTAATTGAAAAGATTTTAAATAAATAAAGCTTGGTGAAACAGCTCAATTGCTCAATTGCTCAAATTGAAACAGTCGTTTGATGAATCTAACAAAAGCGCTACCGAATAACAATTCTTGTGTAATATATGTGATCCTTCATATAATAAAATGACGACCTCCGTGGTCGAGTGGTTTGTACGCCGGGTTTCATGGTGTCGCCAACTCGAGAGGTCCCGAGATCGAATCCCGGTGGGGGCAGATGTTTGTGTGAGCATTTTTACTCCAGTCATGGATGTTTAATATGTATTTCTATATAAATATACTTATAAATAAATAAATAAATAAAATAAATATTTCCAACACTCACACCAATTAGCATAGCACCAAAGTAAGCACTGTAAGGCTTGTGTTATGGGATACTAGGGTAACGGATAGAATACATATACTGTACATATATAAGTATTTATATAGAAATACATATTACACATCCATGACTGGAGTACAAATGCTCGTATTCATCACACAAACATCTGCCCCCACCGGGATTCGAACCCGGGACCTCTCGAGTCGGCGACACCATGGAACCCGGCGTACAAACCACTCCGCCACGGAGGTCGTCAAATATATGTACTGTATCCCATGACACAAGCCTTACAGTGCTTACTTTGGGGCTAGGCTAATTGGTGTGAGTGTTGGAAATATTTATATTTATTTATTATTATTATTAATTCAATAAAAACTTTCTTCGCCCGGATAGTCGAAGATGCAAATGCGAAAATCTAATACCGTTTGAAAAAAAAACACAAGGTCCATCCATGTGATTTGTTTTCCTTGTAAAATTTTCTTGAGATTTAAAACGTCTAGCAGTTAAGTGATTAAATTAAAAATATAATATAGTTGTTACTCAATGACATTACATACACAATTATTGTATGGAGATAGATATGCGCGCCCATAAGTATAATCGCGTCATTACCAGGTATTTTTATTATTCGTTTCTACATATTAAGAAGACATGATAATTATAATTTCTAATTTTTATGCATGTAACTGCTTGATGTTTAAATCTAAAGAAAATATAACTAGAAAAAAATCCACGCTGACCAGGCAGCAGACGGGACTCGAACCCGCACCCTTCGCAATCCGGGCGAATGCACTGACCAATTATGCTACCACGGCCCTGATGGCCGCGTCGAAATTCTTCTAGCCATTCTTAAGCTGCAAGGCAGCGCCATCTCTTCGCATTATAGGTAACCCACAATGTTAAATGAATACTTTTACTAGTATTAAACATTTGAAAGAAGAGATAGCAAAAATTATAACTATATAATGTTTATTTTTATGCATGTAACTGCTTGATGTTTAAATCTAAAGAAAGTATAACTACAAAAAATAGATATGATAATTATTATTATTTGATGAAAATCTTCATGTACTGGCGTTCATATTCGGTGCATAAAATTTCCAGATCTATTTTTAAGACCCCTCATACGTTTTCCATTGGGCACGTTGAAAATGCTAATTTTAGCCAACTGGTCACATAGTATATTGCAGTCATCCCCTTTTAAGTCCAACGTGCAATTTTAACATTTAATCCTGCAAAAAAATTGTTCCATATCGCATCTTCTATTATTTGTTTGTGTGTTTGTTTTCCCCTAGTTTGCTGTTTCAGCTTAATTTATAGGTTGAAAATTAGATTCTACTTTCAAAAAAAATTCGTCATCAGAATGAGGATCCGTAATGATTGACGACCTCTGTGGCCGAATAATTTATACGCGGTGTTTCATGGTGTCGCCGACTCGAGGGGTCCCGGGTTCGAATCCCGGTGGGGGCAGATGTTTGTGTGATAAATACGAGCATTTGTACTCCAGTCATGGATGTTCAAATATTTATTTCTATATAAATATACTATTATATATGTACAGTATATGTATTCTATCCGTTACCCTAGCATCCCATAACACAAGCCTTACAGTGCTTACTTTGGGGCTAGGCTAATTGGTGTGAGTGTTGGAAATATTTATTTTATTTATTTTAGTTGAGAATGCAGATTTATAGAGTTAAGGATTGCATAAAATACAGTGGTTAAATTTTTGTTCTACGACAAATATTGACGAAGTTACGAGTATTACCAAATTACTAAATGAATTTTCGGCTGTCCGCGTGGTGGCTATGACGTCACAGAGCTCTAGCGCCCGGGCGCGAGCGTCTACGCACGCGCATGCTACAGAAGTTTGACCCCCACGATCGAGCTCCGTGACGTCACAGGTTTCGGCCGCCAGTGAATATAGAATTTTTTTTACAGTTAATTTTCTTTGTGTACACTTTGTGTGTGTGCGTATTTTACATGGCTTACAGTGACAAAACTCCATCAAACTTGAGAATATAAATAATACCAGCTTACAAAATGTTCATTAATACGTGCCCTTTAATATTAATTAAATTTAACAAAAGACGCTGTAAGTAGAAACTAATGAATATAAGCCTTAAGTTTGATATTTAAAATTAATAAGATTCAAAATTAATAAGTTAATTAGCAATACCTATCCAGAAAGGTTAATGATTCTGAACGCAGCTATTCAGCTGCGTTCAGAATCTATTTATTCAAATAGGTACTTTCTTAATAAAAAAAACTTAAGGTTTAACTAATAGAAACCAATTTTAATAATGATTAAACACGTCATCGAATGTTAACGTTGGTAGTTACTTAAACTCTGTCGCAATTCACTAATTTAAATGCAAATTTGATTGCCGTCTCCAGTGCTCAAAGTCGTTAGAACCGGACTTAAGACAGATGTAGAGCATAACACTCTCCAAGTGGCGATTACAATTGCTAACCATTCGGCGGCGGGTATGTCTAATTATCTGTACTACCTCTGGAGAATACTCTTGCGAGTACAAAAAGAATTTTGATAATCGGCTTTAAATTGTCTGAGAAATCGCGTCACAAACATAAAAAACAGTCGAATTAGGTACCTCTTCTTTCGTCGATTGTAAAGAAATCTATTTGGCCAGTCTGGATACGACCAGTGTCTTCGGTTAAATTTTGGTTGACCATTATATTACTAGCTATTTCGGTCATCATCATCATCATCATCAGCCTATTAATATAGACTGTCCTCGCTGCTGGGGCACAGGCCTTCCCTATAGATGTGGAGGCCATGCTCCGCAGCGAGATGGCGTGGGAGGATGATCCCCTGGCCGCTCCATCCCGCTACAGGAGGACGGGTAGGAGAGGACGGCGGCGCGCCCTGGCTGCGCCCGTCCCATGACCCTACCCAGGGGTCCCACGCTGACCGGCATGGCGTCAGCTGTGCCTGCCACCGACTGACCCCGTGACGGCAGCCCCCTCTTGTAGTTCTGTCCTGCAAAGAGGGGGCGGCGGAGGGAGCTACACAGGCACGTCCAAGTAGCCCTCCGCAGCGGACGGGGGGCGGTACGGTGGCATTAGGCCGCGTACTCAGCCC